CTCCCTGACATGGAGCCCTCCAGATATTTTGGACTCCAAGAACCGTGCTGTTTGAGGAGGTGTAGCATCTGCAGACCACCAGTTTGGGGAATCGAGCACATTTCATCCATCAAGTGAGTACACCAAAGATTTATAACAAGGACTTGTGAACACCAGATGTTGCTGGACTGCAATGGCCATCAGCCACAGCCAGCATGGCCAGTGGCCTGGGATGATGGGAATTGTAGTCCAACAACATCTGGAGGGCCACAGCTCTCCCCAGCCTGTTTGGTTGGCATCTGTCTGTCTCGGGAGACAATGCAAGAGTACGCCTTCAGGGGGGAAGTCAAACCATTGGAGAGTTACAGCACCTGCCGTGGCTGTAGAGACCGATATGGGAGAGACATGTTGAAACAGATGAAGGCATCTGCTAGGGCTGGTGCAGGTGTACCATAGCATTTCTTCATTCTGCGCTCCTCCCAGCAGTCATTTCTCCTCTGGTCATACTGGACTGTGCCGTGCATGTTCTCATGGAAGGACATGACCATCTTCTGCACATCCTATCATGTTGGGCAGTGTGAAGAGTCATTTTCAGCTGGCAAGGTCCAAGGCCTTCAACAGGTCTATGAAGGCGATGAACAAGGGGCATCTCTGCTCTCAGCATCTCTCCTGCAACTGATGTAGTGAGAAAACCATGTTGACTGTTGACCTCTAATCTCTAATGCTGCATTGTAACTCAGAATATACCCTGCTGGTGAGTGGTCGTAATCTGTTGAGAACTACATGAATGAAGGCCTTCCCCACAGTACTCAGCAGGGGAATTCCAGTCAGGATTGTCACCTTTTTTCTTGTAGAGGGTCACAAAGCCAGAGTCACCCATGTCTTGTGGCACGGATCCTGTTTCTCAACACTGCAAAGCCATGGATGTGCATCATGAGGGAGGAGTTGAGGCCGGCTTTCAGCACTTCTGTTGGGGTCCTGTCCTGTCCTGGGGCTTCAACACATGCCTGGGATTTGATGGCATTCTTCTGCTCATCAAGGGAGGCAGGGACATCCAGCTCTTCTAAGAGTCTGAACACTGAGCACAGGGACCACGTTTTCCCGCAATTACAGTTCTTGATAGTGTTCTGCCCATCGCTTCATCTGCTTGCTGCGGTCTGTGATGATCTCTCCAGGCAAGGTTTTCAGGGGTGCTGTTTTCCTGACTGCTGGTCCAAAGGCTGTCTTCATGCCTTTGTGCATTTTGCATGTGTTGCCGCTGTCAGCAGCGAGCGGAATGCTCTCCCCGGCTCTAATGTATCGTAATACTATCACCAACAGTGCCATTTCATGCAGCGCAGCTGCAGTTAAAGCAAATATAAAATCCCATCATTTTAAATCTGCAAAAAATGTTCTATTTGCAGCTTCCATTCAAAAAAAGGTAATTTACAGACCCCTTAAAGAAGAACCCTGCGTGGGGCAATTTAAATCCATCAGGTACTGTAATTCCAACTCAACTGTAGTAGAATGAACATTGCCTTAATCATGGGTCTTACGGACTGTAGCCCAAAGGACAGAAAACTCAGACGTAGCTTGAGTTTATGGCATAAAAAAATTACTTTTTGCCATACAAAACACATTTTTGTTTTGCCAAGCTGCCCTTTACAACTGGTAATTTGGGGTGGGAGGTAACGAGGAATATAGAACCAGGACAAAGATGCTAAGAGAAAGTGAAAGACTTCCCCCTACTGGCTAAAAACTGCCATTATTACCATTCAGAGATTCATTTGGGCACCTGCAAGTGAAAAGTATAGACTAGTATTACTTGTATGCCACTTTCGTTTTTAGGGGCTTTCTGCAGAAATGTATCCAAACTATATTTCAGCCTCTGCAAGACTCTCCTGCAAGCTTCTTTGATATGAGAACAATGCTAAAACACTGTTTAGGTAGTAGGCCTGAACTGGCCGTTCCCAGCAAAACCACCTGCTCCATCCCAGCTTTCCATCTTTTAAAATCACTAAGAATCGGCAACCTGATTAGAAACCCACAATAATAAGGCTCACAGATCACGCTGCCTTCGAAAACAATTTCCAGAATCACGGACGAATAAAATGTTAATGTCATGTCCACATCATACATATAAAGTACACAACTTCCCCTGAAGTTTGTTTGTTAAGGATTCTGGGATTCGCAGCTCTGTGAGGGGTAAACAAACATTTGCCAGGTTTCTTTTGGGGAAGCCATGACTGTTGAAGGGCTATAAATGTGCTTTAAATGTATAGTATGGGTGTGGCAAGTTCCTGCTGTAGAGGCAGTAAAGAAAATAGCCTTGCCCCCCCCCCTCCTGAAAACAGACAATATGATAACAGCAGTATATTCTTGAGAAAGAGAGTTAACCAGCAGATAACCGTCTGATCATCTGGAAAGGCCCTCTGAAAATCAAGCTCTTCTGCTGTTCCTCTGGGTTAGTTATTTATTTTTTCCTGCCTTAGCAATGATCCCAAATTAGAGGAGTTAATTAAACATGATCTCAGTTTGGAGAGAGCCACTCTGGTAAGCAATGTGTAATCTAACACTCTCCTAATCAGGTGCATAATTAGCAATTACACGGCAACAATAATTGCCGTTGCTCACGCACACTTTCCCCCCTTTTCTTTCTTCTTCTTTTTCTTTTAAGGAAAGCACCACTTCTCCTCTTTGATCATGAGCTGCAGAAAATCCATGTCCCTTTTGACTGAAGTGCCTGCGATGCATTCAGCCTTAGCAGGATTCTGATTGGGGCAGGTATAGTGACTGCTGTCTTGCACAGACTGCAACATTTTGTTGCAGGGCAACACGTTTTATCCATGCAGCTCAGGATGGTGTATGTAATCTCTCCCCCGCACCCCTCATCACAATAATCCTGTAAGGTAGGGTAGGTTAACCAAAAATGACTGGCCCAAGGCCAACGAGCGAGTAATTTTAACCCAGCAGAGGCTTCCTAGCTTAGAAGAGCAGGTAATAGCAGCTGCGAACTAGGAATTCCAGAGTTTAAAAACCCACTTCTGCTCATTAGGAGGCCTAGAGAAGACTCAATTTCTTCCTCAAACTCCACAATCTACAACATGGGATGATGATGATGATAGCAATAACCTATTTAGAGGGTATTGCAACCACGATGACTAAGATAAAACTTTACAGAGATGTCGCAAGGATAACAGCATTTCACATAAATTATATCCCTGTTATTATTACTTCCTATCAGTTTAAGAATCCTGTCATTTTAACAGGAAGTGCTATATAAATACAATCTTTTGCTATTTTACTTACTATTAAGGAGACCCCCACCAAACAGAAAACCTTACCCCTACAAAGTTTGCACATGTTCAGATCTTTTAGCCAGGTGAGCACTGCCAGGCCTGCCATTTTATATATATTATGGATGCATTTTTAGGCTTTCATTTTGTTCTATTTTTATATACTAGGTCATTTATGTTTTTGTCCTTTGTGAGTCGTTTTGGAAAACTTTTCATGGGGGGGGGAGGGGAACTAATAAACGCAATAAACAAACAAAGAAAGAATACATTTTTAAAACTCTTGCTTTCTAAATGCACTTTCAGAGTTGAACCCTGCCATTTCAATGGAGTGCAGGGCTCAGATCAAGTCCTTCATTATATAAAAATGACTGACAATGGAAGTGAGCAGAGGAGCGCATCTTCATAGGGTCTTCCTATAGTTGCTTTCTTGGAAGGAAATCCCATTGTGCTCAATGGGGCTTTTTTCCTAGTGAAGGGGAAGAGGTGTAGTTCAGTGGTAGAGAATTGGCTTTCTGTGCAAGAACTGCCAGGTGTAATCCTCAGCATCTTCAGGTAGCGCTGGAAGAGGCACCTGCCTATAACCCTCGAGAGCCACTGCCAGGTAGACCAATATAAGCAGCTTCCACAACCTCGTTTAATTTTTTGACCAGAAAATGACCTGTTTGGCCGGTGTTAACTGGAACAGTAATGGCATCTCAATGGCCTTTTCATCCAGCTTCCCTAAGACAGGCAATATAAATCATCCTGAGATAATGACACTGCTTTGGAGTAAATGAAGGCTATAACCAGGAAAAATCATCCACGGTCTAAAAGAAGCAAGCTGGTCAAATCTAGAGAACTGCTCATTTTTATGTTTAAAAATAAACCCGGGGAATCAGTCATGGCATCCTTGTTTATCTCGGAATCCCTAGAGTCATGGGTTCGAGTCCTTGTTCACAAGAGGTCCAGAGCGTGGCAACACGAGAACGGGCCTTTTCTGCATTATATAAATTTAGGCACCAGACGAAAACATTTCCCTATAACCAAGCCTTGGGTTGATTAACATCACATAGCCCATTTACATATGTTTGTGGGAGGGGTAAGGAGGGAGGTTCTTTGGTGTGTGTGTGTTTGTGTGTGTGTGTTTGTTGTGACCCATGACTTTTCCTTAAAGGTAAAGGGACCCCTGACCATTAGGTCCAGTCATGGCCGACTCTGGGGTTGCGGCGCTCATCTTGCTTTATTGGCCGAGGGAGCTGGCGTACAGCTTCCGGGTCATGTGGCCAGCATGACTAATGCTCTGGCAAACCAGAGCAGCACACGGAAACGCCGTTTACCTTCCCGCCGGAGCGGTACCTATTTATCTACTTGCACCTTGACGTGCTTTCGAACTGCTAGGTGGGCAGGAGCAGGGACTGAGCAACGGGAGCTCACCCTGTCATGGGGATTCGAACCGCCGACCTTCTGACCGGCAAGTCCTAGGCATTTCATCGGAGAAATGTTGCAGGACATGGAGTTATATGTTTAATATTTTATTATGTTTTTATATATGTTGGGAGCTGTCCAGAGTGGCTGGGGCAACCCAGTCAGGTGGGTGAGGTATAAATATTATTAGTATTATTATTATTGAATAGGACGTCCCTATTTCCATTGGAGAAGTGTTGGAATGCTAGCACTGCACCAGATACCAACCAATGATTCTGAGGTGCCTTCACCCCACTATCCCTGCCACACACCTCTTCCATTTGCAACCACCCCTGAAGAGCATTAAGAAGAAAGACCTGTTTCCTGGAGCTGAGAGCACCCTTGTTCCCCCGGCAGGAGAGTTTCATGGAGCTGGAGGTGCTGATAGAGCCGCCATGTTTGCTCGGCCGGCCAGCGTGCTGAGGGGTGGCAGGCAGCGGGTTCATGAAGAGGATACGGGCAATGAGGCCGTAGAGGACGGTGGCCAAGCCCAGCGGGATGATGTAGAAGACAGTGAAGTCCAAGAAGTAGATGGGCATGTAGAGGTTCCTGGAGACCCGGTAGCCGCACTTGACTTGCGTGCCGTCGGCGAACAGGACTTGCGAGGTGTCCACCAGGAAGAACCACATGAGGCAGTAGAGGGAGGTGAACAACCACACGCAGGCGATGATGCGCTTGGCCCGGGCCACTGTGCAGAGCAGCTGCGCCTTGATGGAGTGGCAAATGGCGATGTAGCGCTCCACCGTGAAGGCCGTGATGGAGCAGGCCGAGATGTTGATGCCGAGATACTGCAGGTAGGTGATGCACAGGCAGCCGGCGTAGCCGTACACCCAGGAGGCCACCACTTCCGAGATGTTGGGCAGCCCTGCGGCCAGCAGCACAATCAGGTCGGCCACGGCCAAGCTCACCAGGTAGCAGTTGGTGGGGGTCACCATGTGCTTGGTGCGGAGGACCACCAGCACCACCATGACGTTGCCGGCGATGCCCACCCCGCAAATCAGCAGCACCAGCAAGATGGTCACCACTTGCACTTCCAGGGGCAGCTGGGGCATCTTGTCCAGAAGAGTCTGGTTGGCGCTGGCATTGCCCACCGGAGCCCCAAAGAAGTCCCAAGACTGGTTCTCCATGGGTGGGTCCCGGTCGGGTTGTTTTCCTTGACGCTGATGGTGACTGAGCCTGATTAGGGCTCCCAGGCCAAGAGGAACTTCAGCAAGTATCCTGAGCCGGAAATGGGGGTGGGAGAAAAAGGAAGGTTAGTTGGTTAGACCAGAGTCTAATAGTTAGGAGAGGGATATTTAACTGGGAGTTTGGGTTCAGGTTACAGCTCAGCTTGGAGCTCATTGGGCAGTCTTAGGCAAGCTTATTACATCTCAGTCTCTCTCCCACGCTTCTTATATGGAAAGACCAACAGTGGCCCACCATACAGGACTGTTGTAAAGATTACTGCCTGGACAGTTTCTTGCAAATCATCTTAAGACTTGGACAGGTGGTAGAGAAATACTCAGATTAGGCCCACTGACTTCAGTTGAATAATGAGAGATCCTTTCCAGCTTGATTTCAGTGGATCTAGAATCACAGAATTGTAGAGTCGGAAGGGAACATGAGGATCATCTAGTTCAACCCCCTGCAATGCAGGAATCTTTTGCCCAACGTGGGGCTCTAACCCATAACCCTCAGATTAAGAGTCTCCTGCTCTACTGAGCTGGCAGACAATAGTAATACACTAAATCACATTGTAATCAACAGCCACGATTTCAGTGATTTCATTCTGCAATGGTTCTCCTCTGGGTGTGATTTAGTCAGATACAACAACCATTATAATTATAATTAATATTAATATTAATTTATATTTGCAAGTTCTAAAACCCAACAAGAAGACAGAACACTGATCTCTAGGGATTAATCTGACCCTGGAAAGTGTGCCTCTGAGCATGCACAGACTGCATTTACCTCAGCACAAAGTAATTACAGCTTACCACACCCACATCTAGAATAAGGGCACAGGGTTCCAAAATCAGAATGTGTGATCCCCATGAACATTTCACACACACACACACACACAAACACACAGTTTTTGACAGTGGCAACAGCATCTTCTTACTGCCACAGACTAACACAGCTTCTCTTGAAGATAGACAGCGAAGCTTCTGTTACTCCATTGTAAACTAAAATAAGAAACGATCCTGTCTCCACCAGCAGCACTGTCCAGCTCTAAAATCAATGCTAGAAAGTGTGTTTATTATCACTTGAACTTTCTCTGTGAATGATTTCTCTTAACAACTGTAATTGTCACTGTCTGTACCTTCTGCCTTCTGATCTTACTTTCACAACACTTTCAGAACACTCCACCCAGCTTTGTATTTATGCATCTGAAATTCAGGAAAACATTTAATGCACCTGATGGAAGTGGACTAGAGTTCTCAAAAGCTTATGCTGTAATAAATTTGTTGGTCTTTATGGTGACACAAGACAATGTTGATTTTGCTGCAGTGCTAACTGCACTTACTGGGGAATCCTAACCCCCTCTTAGCCCCAATGTATAGAACAGGGTTTACTCTGAGTAGACATGGTTAGGGCTGCAGCTTCATACAGCAGCTGTCTCTGTGAAAATTGCTCCATCCTAGTTGAAGACAGTCTTTCTGAATCTTTCCCTGTCCTGCACCCTTGAAGAATTTCTTTAGCTCTATCTGTAGCCAACAGAATCTCCCGGACCCTTTAAAAAGCGCGTCCAGAGTGCTGTAGCGCCAGCAAATTTCTGGTGATGTTACGTTTCATAAGGAAGACCCCGCATCCATCAGAGGCTGACACATGTTGGCAAGGATCTTCCCTACCTGTAGGGCATTGGAAAGAGCCATTGCGCAGTGACAGAGCACAGGAGGTCCGAAGTTCAGTCCTCAGCATCTCCTCTGCAATGGTCAGGGAAGTCAGTGACAGAAAAGATCCTCCCCCTGAGACCCCTAGAGAGCGACTCTGCTAGTCAGAACAGATCGGTGATCTTCAACGGATGAGCCGGGACCCATTGCCAAACCTATAGTCTGATCTATGGTGGGTCATTATTAATTACTTAATTAAATTTATATACCGCCTGTTGTCCATAGATCTCAGGGCAGTTCACATCATAAAATTACAATATTACAAAAACACAAAATATGTAATTAAACAACAACAACAAACCAACAATTCCTCCTTATAACAGCAGCGCTACTCCCACTTTGCAAATATACAGTTTATGCGTATATATCTGTGTATGTATACAGAGAGGAAGGGAGAGAGAATGAAATGAATCGTTATGTCCAGTCCTTTTTTTCTCTCTCCTAAAAAAATGTTTAGGGGTACTCTCATTTTCCTACTCATATCGAAATACTGCCCCTCAATGAGGCCAAACTTAGATTCGCAAAATGTTTTGGGGTATGCGTACCACTGCGTTCCCCCAGAAAAAGCACTTAGTATGTCTAGGTTCAAGTTGGGTCTGAAAAGGCTGGGGGCAGCTGGAATAGACAACGGACCAATGGCTCAAATCAACAGAAGGCAAAAGCTCACGATATGCCCCATAGCTCTCACGTCACTCGACTTGTGTCAGCCTCGAGGGTGCCACAGAGCTCTTCTTGGGCTGCAGGAGATCGCGTCGGGGGTCTGGCGGAGCGCGAGCTGGTTTTGGGACTGGCGCGCACATGGGCGCACGACGGAGGGGAGGACGCGCGTACCTGGGAGAGACCTCGCCGCGCGACGCGCCTCGCTCGCCGTAGCCCGGAACCAAACTTGAGAGTCCCAGATGCGCACAGAGGAATGCGAGCAAGTAAATCCAAGCGAGAAGAGGGAGAGAATTGGGGATTGGGTAGAGAGAGAAAGGAATGAGATGTGGGAGGGGATAGAGAAAAAGAAAAGGGACCAGACAGGAGAAGGAATCCAGGAAAAGTGAAACTTTACCATTGGAAGGCAGCGGCTCCGGCGCGGGCATCCGAGGGCGCGGCTGCGTCTTGGAGCGACTTCCTACCTCTCCTTCTGCCTGTCCGCCCTCCTTTCCCTGGCTTCGGGTATTTACAGCGACCCGGAGCTGCCGCAGTCTGCTCAGCATCTGCCTGCCAGCCATGGGTGGGCACCCAGGCACCTTTGCCAGCAGCGGGGTCCTAGCGCCCCCTCGATGCGTTTGGGGGCGGCGGCGAAGGAGGATGATCCGGGGCGAGGGGAAGATCCTCCAGTGGAGATCCTGTTGGTCTTCCCTCCGTGGCTGAACCCACCTACCCACCCGCGCCTCCGCCTCCTCCTACCCCAGGGCGCAAGACCAGCCCGTCTGGCCATTCAACGCCGCCGTAGCTAGCAGGGGGTCGTGCGCCTTTAACAACCGCAGTGCAGGCAGATGTGCAACAGGGAAGGCTTCCCTCTGTCCCTCCAAACGAGGAAGAAACTTCACCTGTTGATTTTCGGCCTATTTTTCAGCTGATAAAGGCACAAGTGGGTGGGGGAAGAGAGGTAACCTCACACTTGTGGCAATGTGGCATTTTGGCTAGGCTAAGTAGGTCTGGACATGTTGCGTGTGCCCTGATGGGACACTACCTGCTAGATAGGAACCAAACTGCCTTGTACCGAGTCAGGCCGTTCGTCCATCTAGCTCAGGGCGTCAGGTGGGGGGACATTCCCAGCCCAGGTTAGGGACTGAACCTGGGAACTGCAGCATGAAAAGCATACGCTGTACCCCAGCCCTTGCCTTTTCTCCTCCTTGAAAACATGGACATACTCCCTTGAGTTCCTCAGAAGAAAGGTAGGAGCCAAACCTAAGAAAGGTGGGGATCTCCCAACAGCAGTTAGCTGATTTATCGTAGACCCTTAATCCATCTAGTTCAGGGCTGACTACTCGGACAGGCAGTGGGTTTCAAGCAGGAGTTTTTCCGGCCCCAAGCAGTTGAACCTGGAACCTCCATTCTGCAAGGCAGATGCTTTGCCACTGAGCCGAAGTCCTTTTCCTTTGTTAGGTGAACTGATGGTTAAATCCAGGGTGGTTTTTTTTATCAATGGGAGCTTATGGTTTTAACAGGGGTTGGCAACCTGTTCCCTTGAGGCTACACGCAGCCTGGGACCTGGTTATTTGGCGAGAACTCCAACATATTGACGAGGCAGAACTTGTTTTGTAGAAGCCATGCTCATTCATCCTCCGCAAAGCTTGTTCTTCTTATATGCTTAGCAGCTCAAGCTTCGATACAGTAATGTTTTTCATCAAAGGAGTGCAGAATTTATTAGGCTCGTGGGTCTGAGGGGAACATGAGAAATGGCTTTTCCAGAAAGGTTTTCTTTATGATGACATCTCAAAATCCAAGCTCCTGGACACAGCTATGTTTGACAAAGTGCATGGGCAGCTATCCTTCTCCTTGCCCAACATGTTTATTGAATGCAGGAAGGAAGGAGTGGGAGAACTTCTGCTGATCTTGCTGGCATCAGCAGACCTGCTGGTTGCCTTCCTCACCCGGCTGTAAGGTGCAAGACACATAGAAGCATGCATGGTCTCCAAGCTGTCAGAGACGCTGCAAAACTGGGACTCCTGGTGGCATGAAGGAGCCTCCCTGTGTTGAATAGTTTCATGTTAGCACTGAGCACATAGAGCTTGGGGTGGACCCAGTAGGTGCACCAGTGCTAATGGTTGTCCCACTGTAATGAAGGTGGGTGTTGCGGGGGGTGGGGAGGGCAATTGTCCAGAACTGAGATTTTGTTTTTTGGGTTTGGTTTGGTTTTTAGTTTTTATTTATACTTTTCATGTTTATACCTATCATTAATTTTACAATCATTTTCACATTTCAAAGTTTGACTTTCTCCCCTGCCCCCCTTTCTGCAGAGGCAGATCAGGCAGAGGGCCTTCTCGGTAGTGGCGCCTGCCCTGTGGAATGCCCTCCCATCAGATGTCAAGGAGATAAACAACTATCTGACTTTTAGAAGACATCTGAAGGCAGCCCTCTTTAGGGAAGTTTTTAATGAGTGATGTTTTAATGTACTTTTAATCTTTTGTTGGAAGCCGCCCAGAGTGGCTGGGGAAACCCAGCCAGATGGGTGGGGTATAAATAAATTATTATTATTATTATTATTATTCCTTAAAATTATTTTTTAATATCTTCTGCATATCCAAATTCATTTAATTTGC